TTCCTCATATTGCTTCTTCTAAAGAGGAAATAAATATATGCATATTCCCAGAGCTGTTGAAAGTGGGCCCGGCCCTAGAACTAGAGGCGCGCTGGTCGCAATGCAGGCACAGACCTTCCCAACAACCCGGTACCTGCTGTCCTGGCGCTTCCGCCAAGGAGGAAGGTTTTCCAGGAGTTAGGGGTCTGCGTTGGTGGTGTGGTAGGCTGATGGATGGAGAGGGAAACAGTGTGCAGGAGAGGGATTGTAAAAGAAACATGCCTTTTAAGATAAACAATCAAATTGGTTTAGAGATTGTCATAGTTGAAAATCTACAGGTTGTTATTTCGTTATTTCGTGGAAAAGGTTCCTGGCTGGGAGAGGCATTCAAAGCTGGGTCGGCGGAATAGGTGCTGCTGAATTGACTTTTTTTTTTTTTTTTTTGCGAGGGCTGGGGAGGTTAAGGTGATGTTTTGTTGATTTGGAGATGATTTATTTCCTCCTGTTGTAAAATCTAAAATGACAGTCCTGGGAAGAGGAAAGAACTATAGGGACCCGTGTGACCCATTGCTGTCTCCCTGAAGCCCTGGCGCTCTGACCTGAGCGCACTGGGGTTAAGTCTTTCAGACAAAATGCGGGACTGAGCGACGTCTAACACTCGGGAGAGGCGCTCCGAAGCACGGAGGAGGTGGAAATTCACTGCATTCCAGAGTTGGGGGATCTGGAGCCCCAGTGAGTACTGGCAGCCTAGGGCTTCGGACTTCACTGGCCTATCACCCCACACTTCAAATTCCCAAGTCGTCCTTCACCCGAAAGCGGGTAGGAGTCACTGGACTATCAGTTTCTCCAAAATTCCAAGAGAAGGAGATCACCCGGGCCCCTACCTCTGCATGTGAAATAAACCAAAATCACCACCTCTTGGCTGGCCTTGACATTCGGCTTTGGGGATTCACTGATGCACCTTGATCCTGTATTTCACCTCCTCCTCTAAAGAGAAATGTTTCCAGGCTAACCTTAAAACGATATATTTCATTGCTTCCCCTCTTCAACGAGATAACTGAAGTCCAAATTTAGACTGCCAACACAGACTCCAGAGCCCCAGGGTGGTGCTGCATAAGAAAATTTTTGGCGCAAGGGTTGTTGCAAACGCTGAGACTCTAGGGGTTGATATTACTGTGATGCGAATTCCAACTTGGGAGCGCCCTAGAAAATGTTCCCGCTCTCCTGGGCGTTTCTCTGGCGAAGAAAAGTTGGCCGGGCAAGGTCCCCGGAGAGTGTGACTGGTGGATTGGGCAGGCAATTCCTTCGCGCTGCGTTTACACCTCTCCCTTTGTGACAAATCGATTTCCCGCGCTGCTGTTCTGCATTTGCGTCCCGCCGCGGCCCGGGAGCCAGCTGCGCCCGGTATACACTTAGCATCGGCTTGTGAATGTGTGCGTGTGCGCGCGCGTGTCTAATTGACTTTCCGTCTACCTTTTTATGACTACATGTGTTTCCAACAAAAGGTCTTATTAGGACAATCTGGTTTCACTAATTTAGAGGTTGGGAACGTGGAAGGCAGGCCCCCCCCCCTTTTTTTTAAGAGTTTGCAGAAGTTCAAATTAAGAAATGACAGCGGGATGCACTGTCCTCATTGGAGTAGGTCTGCTTATTTTTATGACCCGTTCCTCTTTCCTATCCCTGATTAACCACATTCTGCCACCACCCCCATTCACACTCCACACTATCCCATTAGCCACTGGATTCCAAACAGTGTTAAAAGAATTATTTCTTTGAACACTTAATGTATTTAAGCCCAGAAGCTGGAGAATTTACTTGTCTGAGAGACTCAGTAAAAAGGGAAAGGAAGCATTCCTCAGAGAGGACAGTGTAGTGAATATCAACCAAGGTAAGGGTGGGGACAGAATTGCTGATGGTGAGTGGGGTGGGGAGGGTCTGGGAGAAGCCCTCACTTTAGACAATACCTAATTCCTTTTAGCTCTATTCGGCCCAGGTTGTAATTAGAAATTTTGCAATATTAAAAATCCAATATTGAAGGTGTAAGTGGAGTTTGTTTTGCTAATTTCAACTGAAGAGAAAATTTAGAAAGGTCAAGGACTGTTTCTATATAGCTAAAGGAATCAAATGCTTCTTTTTAATGTTCTCTGTCTCTCTGAAGAAGACAATCATTTCCCACTAGACTAGATTTCCAGCAGGGTGCAAAGAGCGCTAGACTCCCGGTTCCATCTCCGAGTTACTTTGGGGATGGGGGAGAGTCTGCTCTAGCCATCCTTTACCACGACACTCCCCTCTTCCCTGATTCACAGTCTGAGCTTCATTGTCATTTCAGGCTGGAGGCCAAGGGGTCCTGACTTCCAGAGGGCTCATAACAGCTTTCTTGGTGACTCTTTTTGGGAGACCAAGAACTAGGGATTAGGGTTCCAGACTCTCCCATTCTCATCCCAGTGGAGAAAAAAAAGAGGAAAGTGCTTATAAAAGCAAGGAACTATTCGTTAGAACACTACTCTCATCTCTCTGGGAAGCAAGGCCTGGTGTGTGTGTGTGTGTGTGTGTGTGTGTGTGTGTGTGTGTGCGCCCGCGCTACTTTCCTAGCTCCAGGTGCCTGTCACATCGTCCCCATCACATCACTCTGCCTTCTGCGGCCTCCTCCCAAAACTGTCTCTTGGTTATGCTTCCGATGAGCATCCTCTTTCTGAGCCTCAGTTTCCTTTCAGGGTCCTCTCCCCACAAGGCCTCTCTAGTCATTGTAACTCTGAGATGGGCCCGAGTATCACAAGTTTTAGAATCTCCCCTTTTCCCGGGACACACAGTCCCCAACTCTGCCCGCAATCCTCAGCTTGTCCTCGCGTGCCCCTGTGGAGGCCACATGCTCCTATAGGCCTCCTCGGAGCCTCTGAATCTGCTCTGGGGTGCTCCACCTCTGGCTTCCTCTGGCCAGTCCCGCTCCATACCCACTCTAAGGCCACAGCAAATCCCTGAATCCCAAGCTCCCTTTTCGTGGTGTCCACTCAGAGCCAAACAACTGGTACAATTTGCATCCCTCTTCCCCTGCAGTATCCCGGGGCCATCAGGGCTGGGTCGGTCCCCAGGCTGGCTGAGGCAGCTGGCCTTGGCCTTGCTTTTCTCATCCTCCTGTTTCCTCATAGGGCAAAACAACATCTAGTCTCTCCTGCCCCACTCTGGTCTTCTAAGCAGAATTTTCTTCGTGGCCCTGTTTTCTGTTGTGAGTCCAACCTCTGGTGTTCGAACAGTGGTAAATGTCGCGATTAGTAAGTAGTCCTGACAAAACAGAAACAACCCGACGTGCAGAATTGACGAAGCTGGGGTCTACATGGAATGCTATTCTCCTTACTCTTTTAGTTTTTCATTTTCCCTAGTAAAACGTTTAAAAACAACCATAGTATTTCTCAGTGCATTTTGTTAGAGCTAAGAGTGCTCATGCAAACACTTAACTCACTCTGCGGTGTGGGCAGCAGAAGCAGCCCCTCTAGCACCAAAACGCTAAACAGAACGTCTCTACCTCTGCACTTAGCCCTTTATGTGGAACCTGGGGACACCCGGTTCTTCATTCCTCAGAGTTGGCCACTTTTCTCTGGTGTCCAGGCCAGACTTCCTCATCCAGCTTCTGCAGCCCTCTGCTAGTGCATTGGGTGGTTCAGCCCTAGGCCTCTTTTGGCGAAAAACACCGAGGGGTGCCCAGGCCAGTAAGGAAGCAGGGTGAAGACCGGGCGCCCTGAGCACGCCATAGGCTCTCTCTGCGGCTTGCTTTAGCGTGGCCCTTGGGGCCACCACTGTGCCCAGGCCCCGTTTCCAATTGTTTCTATGTTCAGTTTGATTTGTATGTCTATTTTTCGAAGGTCTGAAATAGGCAATGTTTTGCGAAAATCACAGAATGCTGGCAAGACCCCTGGTTCCACGGTTTCCAAATTTTAAGACAAAATGGTAACCAGCAACTATTGACATCGAAAGCGATCAGCCTCATTTGAGAACTTACAGCTAAGTTCTTGCAACCTCAAGAAGAGGGAATATCTATGCGTGTCTGGCACATTGCACCTGGGATGAACTGGGTGACCGGTCTGTTACAGACTCGGGGACACGGGGATACAATTGCCGTCTCTTTTTAAGGCACCATTACTAAAGCGAAGCGAGATTTTCAGGGGCGCGAGGCTGGTCGGTGAGGATGGGGAAGGGAAACTACTTTTCCGGACGTTTAAGAAGCAATAGGGATTGCTCCTCGAAGGTGACACTGGCCTCAGCACAGAAGCCCGCGCCTCCAGGATGCAGCTCCCCTGTGCGGGATCACGCGGGGCTGAATCTCAGGTTTCACCCATAAAGGACATTCCCTTGGCTTGGCCTGAGTTTGCCCGAGTCAGCCGGGATTTTGACTCTGCGGGTCTCAAACCCATTTGCCGTGGAGGTGACAGCAGGGGGCAGAGAGTAGCCCCAGCGTCTCGGGCAGGGCGTTCTCTCGTGGCCTCCCCGTTGCGCTCGGCCTTCTGTGCCCGCGTGGAGTGTGCAGCCCGAGCAGCGCCAGTCCTGCTGCCTGTGCCTGGTGCCCTCCCTGAAGCCGTCATACGCTGCCTGACAGAAGTCCTTCCAGCCCAACTCAGCATCCTTAACCCGCTGCTTTCCCAAACACTGCTGGCTCTCTGAGTTTGCGCCGCGATAAGACCTTTTTCCAGCCCTGCCCCGCCGCTCTGCCTGTGGGATGAACCCAACCCGAGCCTGGCTGAAGTAAAGAGAGTTCGCGGCAGACAGAGTCCCTGCCTCCGACCTCAGGGCCTCGGAGTGTCCCCGGGCCTCGGAGCCTCTCTAGCTTCCTCCTTGGTTATGCCCTCGGCCGAGACCCGCTTTTCGCATCTGGTTTCCCCCGTGACTGGCCCTTCCTTTGAAGTCTCCCACAACCTCTACTAGTCCCAGGACTTTCTCTTTCTGGCCCCGGACGGGCCCTCGCTGCCCTACCCCGGTCCCCGCCCTCTGTCCTGGGCACACACCCCCGTGGGCATGCGCCCCTCACTCACTGTCCTGCTGCGGGGTGTCGCTGCCGCTGGTGAGTCCCGGCGACTCCAGCAGGCTCCGGCCAGCCTCGCCCACGTTCTCGTCCGCCTGTGCTGCCACCATGTCCCCAGCTTCCTCCAGGTCTAACAGGTGACTGACGGAGAAGTTCTTTTTCGCCTGCAGGGTGTCGAGGTTGCCCGGGCTGTCCAAGCGGCCGCCCAGCGCCGGTTGCCGCTCCAGAACGTGCCCGTAGCTGGAGGTCATGGTCTCCCCCACCGATCCCACCCACCCCCCTCTTCCCGCTCGAATCAACACCAAACGCTGTGGGCGCGAGGGGGGAGAGGAGCCGAGTGGGGAAGAAAGAGGGGGGCAGTGCAGACAGAGAGAGAGAGAGAGAGAGAGAGGAAGAGGGAGGGAAAGAGAGGAAGGCCAAAAAAAAAAAAAAAAAAAGTGGAAAAGAGGGCGGGGGACCCCCTTCTGTAGAGCAGAGCGTTCTGCACCAGCCGCCTTCCGTAGCCTTGGTTGCTTTCCTGAGGCCAAGTCCGGCGCGGTCCAAAGAGATAATCCACACCAAAATACAATATTAAAAAGTCACCCTATGTTCAAGTCAGGAGAAAAAAATCCCTTCCAACTCTCCAAAAGCATCCACAGGCACAGACTAAAAATAATAATAAGGGGGAGAGAGGAAAGCGGAGGCCAGCAGGGCGGGGGAGTTAGGCAAACAGAAGAAGAGAGAAGAAGGGGTGGGAGAGAAGAATCAAAGTGGAGGGTTTTTTTAAAGGTTAAAAAAGTTATTCCCAGGCAAGAGTTCAAGCACCAACAGAAGAAGGCTTGTTCCAGCTTTAAAACATCTTCAAGAAAACGTGTTCCCCCCTCTCTGCACTCCTGTGGATTCTCAGGAGTGACTAAAGTTTCAGGAGGAGAGGGTGATGTCTTGCAGATGTATTAGAGAGCAGGATTCTCACTTTACTTTTTGTAAGGAGTTAAAAAAAAATTAAGAATTAAAAAAAAATTGGGCTTCAAGAGTCCGATGGAGGGTGCTGGTGGGTTCCCCCCTTTCCCTTCTCTCTCTCCCCCTCTTCTTGCTGGGCTCCTTTTTCCTTCTCAGTTGGATCAAGAAGCTCTCTGGCACATCAAAAGGCACAAACTGGCATGCAGAGGAGGCTTTGTAGGGAATACAAGAAAATTGGAGACCCCTGGGAGGGCAGATCTCGACTTAATAGGAGCCTGTAATTACGTGGCAAAGCCTTTGTGCCGTGCCTGACGTTTCACAGACCCCCTTTCTCCATCACAACCTCCTTCTTCCTCCTTTCCTTGGGTCCAAAAACAGTCTGATTAAGAAAACCCCCTTTGCCAACCTCAGAGCCGGAGAGAAAGGGAGAGGGAGGGAGCAAGAGAGAGGGAGGGAGAGAGAAAGAGAGGGAGGGAGAGAGAAAGGAGGGGGAAGAAATGAGAGAGGGAAGAGATCAAGAGAGACCCTTTGGATTTCTAAAGGTCTAATTATCATTCTCCTGCAATAATATCGGGGAGAAAAGACAAACTGAAACTCAGTCACTTCAAACGCGCTGATTATTTTGCTTCGGCATTAACTCCTCCAGATTTGTTTAAGATCCTGCTGGAAAATCTCATTTGCATGTTTTGATAACAGCTGTGGGGAAATTGGAAAAAATCCACCACTATCACAATCAAATTTTCTTCTTCTGCCTTCCCCCACAACCTTAAAAAAAAAAAGATTTTCTGCTGTTTTAACAGTTTTGGGGTGAGTACAGGGAGAAAATAAGGCTATTTTTGGTTCTGTAGAGGGAGCCTATTAAATAATGTAATGAAATAACAAAAGGGATAGTAATAGGAGGCTCTCTCACTCCTCTCGCAAAGACTAAAGGCAGGTTGGGGAGATCTAGAGGGCACCGAAATTATTTGAGGCTTTCCCCGCCGTTAGGAATACCAGGGCTAGGGCAATGAGAAATATACTTGTCTATTAAGCTGGAGGAAAGGACTCCAGAAATATATTAATCTTTCTCCCTACCCCCGCCAATTTTGTAACCTCTGTGGTACCGCCAAGGTTGCTTCCCCAGGCGAGGACGCTAAACCCAGAGGGTCCCGCTGCGCAGATTCCTTGGAGCTGGCTGGAGCACTCCCAGAGGCAGGAGTCGGGGAGGCTTCCGTGCGTTTCAGCGTCAGGCCTGGCTGTGGTAGCGGGAGGACAGAGAGGGGCAGAGGAACCCCCATCTAAGTCTAAGGATAATGCTCTGTCGTCCGTCTGCAGAGTCCTAACTTGACGGAAGACAGAGAGGTGCTGAGCAGTTTTTTCATGAACTGTTGGAATTTGGTAACAGCTTTAATAGTCTCATTAGAAATGACTTACTATATGATGACTAAGTAAAATATTAAGTGCTTATTTGTGGCGTTTTATGTTCTTTAAAGGCTCACATACACACATGCATCCGCCCTCCCTTGATTGCTAGACTCTTTTTTTCGTTCTATAGCCGAGAGGCTCGACTGGAGAGAAAGAGGGGTCCGAGTGTGTGTAAATGGTTTCTGGGCTCCAACAGCTATAGTTAGCCCAGAACTTCCAGCCCTGATCTGGGAAAAGAACATTTGATGCCATCAAAGGGCTGCAGATTGAAACCAGATGTCCTCCCCTCGGTTCTTTCCATGCATTTAATTAAGGAGCAGGGATGGAGGAGACTTTTTCATCATTAGTCCACCCACTCCCCGCTCCTCTCTGCAGTCCTTTGCCCCCCTCCCACTCCCCCCACCCCCGCCCCCATTCCGGGGCCGCTGGAACCCCCGACCGGGAGCCCGGAGCTCTGCCAGGGCTGCACTGTGCGCTGCGCAGGTCGCTCGATCTCCCCAGCGGTACCGGCTCTAAGCAGTAAACATCTGTCCGCGCCTGAGCCAAGACGAACTGGACGGCAGTGGTGGGGCAGGGGGCGGGCGTGCACGCGGGTGGGCCAGCGCAGAGTGGGAGCCTGTGGGTGCCTTCCGTCGGGATTTCCAGCTCAGCTGCCTCCAAGAACCTAAGCTGAGCGCCGCACGCGCTCGTGCCATCTGCTGTACTGGACGCAATCTAATAGCGTAGAGAGGTTTCCACCAGGCATCCGTTCCACGTGGGCCGTTTCTCCCTTCCCAGCGGTTTGCCCTTGCAGCAGATCAGCCTCCCCAAACCCTCCCTAGAAATGGAGCAGCTCCTCGCCTCTCCCTCCTTTGGCTTTCTCCATCCTCATTTACAGTTGCGTTTTAACGTTGCTGTTTGTCCCCTACAAGGACCGAACTGCCCCTCGTGACAAAGGTCTGGGTAAGGGCTGGGGACTTTTGGCATCCCCAAGACACGATGTTACCCCTAAAGATCCAGTGTCCTCGGTCAGTTAGGGGGAGATCGTCCTTCCGAGGAAGTTTTGCCTTATTCGGGTGAACAGTCAGTATGGTTGGTGAGCGTGGAGTAGCCACAAGGAAGAGAGTTTATAGATGAGCATCCGGAGGCAAACGCAGATGTCTCCGCTGATATTCGGACGCATGTTCTAGAGGGACCAGGCGCTTCTTGAAAATCACCCACTTGTCCCACTTGTCATTCGTGATAATATCAACCAATCCTACCAATACTGACTAGAATGCTAACGGTTTCGAGAAAAACACCGGACACGTTTGCTAATTTATGGACTCTCTCTCTCTCTATATATATATTTTCATGTGCAATGTTTTCCCCAAATGTCTTTCGGACTCGGAGCTCAAATACTGGCCAAAGTGCTGGGCTTGTCCGACCTTTGCAGCGTGGCTCCTGCAGCTTTAAAAGCGCAAGGTCGGGGAGCCCTCCAATAGAAATGGAGGTGGCCTTTGAAGAGTGAGGGACACAGAGTGTCCTTGAATCCTCGGAGCTGGAACTCTGGGGCAGAGTCCCAGGATACGCGGGGAAAGGGAAGAGCGGTTTCGGGGACTTAGTCACCATCCCCGGGGAGCGCGAGGCAAGCAGCAGGGCCCTCTCCCGCCGTTTCGCAGTGTTTTTCTCAGAAGTCCGCGGAGGCCACCAAAGCGCGAAGGCTTGAGGGACACTTCACCACTCGGAGAGAGTGGTGAGGCTGCCTTTTCCCGAGATATCCCGTAGGCCTCAGCTGCAGGGACCAATCCCTGAATTCCCCTAGCCCCGACATCACCGCAGGGAGTCAGGAGGCAGGGTGGGCTTCGGGACGTGTTGGGAGAGTCCCCTAGGGAGCAAATCACAAAGGCAAACCCTGCAGAATTGATCCCCTCTCCACCCACCAATTTTTTTCTTCTTTTTTTGCTTGTTTAGGTCTTTGTGGGTTTTTTTCCTTTTCCTTTTTTTCTATTAGCAATTACAAGTGTATTGGATCCACACTCTGATTATGTTTACACACATTTGCAATTTGTTGAGAGTCTGAAGTGTAATTTTAAAATATCGAGATAGCCCTACAGGGAAATTCAAGACAGAGCCGAGAATGCGTTCACTTCATAAACACAAAAGGCATGCTTGAGCTGGCGCTCCCAGAACCCTCCCAGCCAGAGCTGATGTTCTGCTCTAGGCACCCATAGGCAAGCCAGAAGCTCCTTCTCAGAGCTCCACAGGTCACTGCTCCTAGCATCCACTAGACCCTCAGATTCCAGGTCCTGCTTTCAAGGGTTTAGAGCAAGGGGGAAATTGGTGAACCAAAGTTCCCTGGGCTTGGCTGATGTTGCAGGAACCAGGAAGGCCAAGCACCTTGAGAATCTGAACGGCCATCTGGCAGAAAGATGTCAGGAGAGGGGACTTGAGGAAGCTTTGGCAGAGAGCACATACTCATCTCCCAAGCAGACGGCAGACTTGGCCTGGGCATTGAGAAGGCCCCAGAGAATAGCCGGCTGTTACCCCTGTAGTTCCGTAATCACCACTTTGCTTTCCCCATGTGACTTTTGTGGGTGGGAGAGAGAGCTGGAAAAAGAGAATTTCTAACTCAAAATCTCTAAACATGTGTAGGCCTTTCTTTGGCTTTAGCTTTGACTTCCATCCATCAATTACTATTTTTTGAAGTTTGAATCCCTGCATGATGTAACTAACCAGAAACTTCTCCCTTGTGACCTTTCCAGCATCTGAGACCCACTTTTCAACTGTTCCTTCTGCCCTACCACCTTTAAAATAACTCCTGTTTTTAAATTCCTCCCCATATAAATGGGAGCAAAGCTAGATCTAGCAAGTAAACTTGCCAATAGATCAGACCAAGGTAAGACAGAGGTTTGGTTCCCAGCCATGTGCCTTTGGGTGGTCCTATTAATAGTTAGGTTTGGTATTGATTACTGTCTAGGGTTTCCCTGGCACTGAAAGTTGGCAGAACTCTGCCTTATCTGGCTAGCAGAATGTCTCCCACCCTAAGCAATTTCCCCTCTGAGGTGGAAGCCAGGAGTTTCACTCCCTGACATGTTAATAAACTGACATGATAATCAGGTGACAGGTCACAGGTTCCATGACACAAAAAGAAGACAGCACCGCTCTTAGGAAATAACATGCTGTGGGAATAAAAATGCTTTCCTTCTTATGGTGAACAATCTAGTACATATTCATTAACAATGACACAGGTAAAAAGACTGAAATATAAGATGGATTCTGCAGGGTTCATATTTTAGTGTTTTTAGAAGGAGTCTTTATGTCATGCCTGAAAGGAACTCTCCTTTACCCTTCCAATTCTGGTTATTGTAACAATAACTGTTATTTCAGGAGCATTTCTCCTATGCTCTATTCTTTATCCAATAGCTCCACTCAATTATTTTGAAATTTTTTTAATAATCAAAGGAAGTCAGACTAAAAATACATTTCCAAGTAATGATCTGGTAACAGATTTACTCTGCTATAGGCTGGGAGGCCCAATATATTCAGTTGGAACATAGAATAGTTTCACTAAGCCCATCTTCTCCCCAAACCACCGGCTGGACACTCTGCATATACCACTGAAAGCAGCTTTAGCCAAAGACATCAGTGACCTGCACATTGACAAATGCTGTAAGTTTTCCTCAGGCCTTAGCTTGCTAAATGCTTCTGCTATAATTGATAGTGTTGACCATTGTTTTTTTTTTAAAAATGTTATTCTCCTGGTCCTCTATTTCTCTGACCACTTATTTTGGTTTTCATAGTATATTCCTTTTTCTCTGCTCACTCCTTAAATATTATATTCTCCAGAGTTCTGGTCTTTATTTTACTATCCTTCAAAATACATAGGTTGTTCTTAGAAGATATCATACATTTTTATGGGTATGTCTTGGTCTGTTTTATGTTGCTATAAAAGAGTACCTGAGACTGGGTACTTTATAAAGAAAATAGGTTTATTTAACTTCTCCAGTCTGAGAAGTTCAAGGATAAGTTGTTCAAGTTCAAGTCCTGGCTTCTGGTTTGACCTATTCTGCTGCATCACAATATAGAAGAGAGGGTAAAAGAGGAAGTGGACATGTGTGAAGAGAAGGAAACCTTGGGGGGCATCCCAGCTTTATAACAACTTGCTCATAAGAATCCATTGTCCTGAAAATTAATTCAGTCTTGTGAGAACAAGAATGTATTTACTAACGCTAGAATAGCACTGAGCCATTCATGAGGGATCCACTGCCATAACCCAATCACCTCCCCACTAGGCCCCACCCCCAACTCACCCTCACTGGGGATCAAATTTCAACATGAGCTTCAGTGGTAACAAACCATTTCCAAACCATAGCAATTAACTACCACCTGTTTGTCAATTAGTCCAAAATGTAAACCTTAAGCTTGTCCATCTACTTACTGTCATCTTGTGCAAACTGGGCAAGTTACCTCTCCAAGCCTCAGCTAATTCATCTCTCAAATAATGCTAATTATGGCACCTACTGTATATATTTGTGAAAATTGAATAAGAATGCAGGCAATCAATTTATCACAAAGCTTACCAAAAAAGAAGCCCCAAAGAAGAAAAAAGAAATAGCTATCTCCTTGCTGAATATGCACATTTATTGAAGAAAAAAACAAACTCTTTCCCCAGTAGAAAA